ATCATGTGATCTGGATTGAATTAATCCGGCTTGGATCTTTAAATCACGTGAAACTACCTTGCTTTAGTGGACCCCCAATTCAAGATACAGTCAAAGCTTTATATACTGATGCCTCTTTGTATATTGACAAATCGCTTTAAAAGTGGGTTTAGAGTACTTATTATAGTTACACAATATAAAAAACCTCGTCATCTTGTTATACGGATATTTTTCTTTATCCGTGTATATCGATATATAGAGGTCTTAAATTGGTATGATTTTAAAGTCATTTCCTCGTGCTTATCCTCATTAAGAAATTTGATAATTTTCATGAAATTGTTCATATCGTCTTACGATATTATTATATGGATTATACGGATATCTTTTGTACTAAACGTAAAGAAAAAGCAATTCTACAGATGCATCGAGAAATATTAGATATTGCTATTGAGAATTACAGTCCAGTGCTTAGCCTGAAGTATCTGATACTTTGTTTTTTGTCAGTTTGCATCGGATTGCGATGCTTTATTTGTCTTTTTGCATCGGATTATGATGTTTAATGCTAGCTGTGGATATCGATATCCATATCATTAAAAAGGTTGCGTGTTGCTTTGTTGCGTTGCGTGAAAGAAAAAACCAAAAAAAAAAAACGAAAAGATGTATATGAAAAATATGCCTACGTGTGCTTTGGTAAATTAGAATTAAGCATACACATAGGCATATTTTTTCATGTATAATAATGAATGACATTATTTTTGTCTTTGGGCTTTTGCCTCTTTGTTCTTGTTCTTTCATTTTTTCTTTCACGCAACGTAAATGAGCAATCAATTCACAATACAAAATTTGTAACATGCAACACAAGAAATGCGGCTCAACATGCAACAAGCAATACAACAAACTCAGAACCGGGTGACAGATAAGTGCCTTGAAATCGATACTAAAACAAAAACAAGAACTCGAAAAGACAGCCAAGGAAAAAAAGTAAACGATATGGCAGAGTTCAAAAAGTTTCATAAAACAAGCTGCACCCATCATTGTTGAGGAGGTGATTATGAAAGGATGTTAAATGTTCGCTTTCGTATTGTTGAAATAGACTTAGTAACAGTTTTTGTGAAAAAACTTTAATCGATCCTAATTTACGATTACATATTCCAGAACGAGTTATTCAACATCAAAATAATCAAACAAAATATAAATTTGTGTGTTTTCAATAGTTGACTGACTGATTGTTATATATTCATACCATTAATCATTTTATTCTTGAAATCAAAGAAGTTAGAAATCATGTCTGCCATACTGTTGATCCTTTGTGCCTCTTCCGCTCTCTGTTGTGCATATTTTGGGACCGAGACAATTATATTCTTCACACCTCCGACTTGCCCGTCTCTTTTCTTCTGTAGGTTACGTCCATACAATGTGTTGTCGACTAATGATTCAAAAGGTCTGAAAATGGCTTCCATGGCATTACGGCGCAGAACATTTTTTGTTGGATCAAAAATACCGCCAAGACGATAGTTTGCACCTTGAAAATTTAGAGGGTGAATTAGCAAAACCTCTTCTGTCGCAAATCAAACCAAGTTTCACCATGAAAATAACCACCAACTTTTCTTCCACTTCTTGTAATGCTCCTGAATCATGTTGCGAAGTTGTGACTTCGCTCCTCTTTTAAATGATTTAATAGTCTGTCGGCGTTTTGGATCCAGTTGTTTATACGGGATGCGAGAGCGAGAAGCCGACGTACCGCTGGAAAAAAAATTAAATGAAGATGCCCTTGTCGCACTTGACATGGCGGACGCAAACGAAAGGCCAGAAGCGATAGACATTGATGATGAAAGAACGGAATATTTATTGGATTGATTTGAAACGAGAGTCGATGAGGAAGTTGAATTACTCGGGGTGCGAGTTAGCTTCCTCACAGACATGGATGGTAGCAGTCTTTTTGATTTTTCATCATTGACAATGGGAGATTCTGGCAGAGCAGGCAACTCCTTATTGATTATTGATGCTTGATTTTCAAATGCTGTTGACTGTTTTTGACGCAAAGATTCCAACTTGACCGAAGATCTCGGATCAGTAAAATCAACAATCGTGGCATCTCCAATACGATGAAGGAGATCCATAGATTGCTGCTGTACCTTAGCAGTCCTTCGGTTTGGCAAAAGGGATTGATGGATTCCAGCTCTGAGACATTTAATGTAGGCGTAAAGCTGAGCCAGTGCGTCTAAAAAGAAATAAAATATGACGTTAATCAAAAAGTTTGCATTATGCTCCACAATATATAAATGTTCCCAACTTACCCAACATCCACTCGCCAAGAGGTGTGTCTTGTCTGACGGGAAACATGTAGAGAATTGTTTCTGTCTTTTCACTAAAATCACCAACAGTGGTTGTACCTGGTACGTTATGCATAGCAAGCTCACCATGAATCAAAAGAATTTTTCTTCCCACATCACCGTAATAATTGTTCTGATCGAACTTCACTTGATCTGGTTCCTTTGTATGGTATGAAGTGTTCTCATGTTCTTCGGAAATTGTTGGCAATAGATTTTCTTCAGTTTCTTCCACTGGGAGACTAATTCTTCCGCTTAATGATTCCACCTTCCAGACCAAACGTTGCAAGTTTTCCATCATCTCCAGAACCTAAATTATTCCATTTTTAGATTTCATTATTTATGCTGGCAGTATCGAATGTCACATAATTCTGGCTAACAATTTTAAACCTTGTAAGAACAGAAGAGGTACCTGCACATCTCCAAGAGAAGAATTGCTTCCAATTCCATCACATATAATTGATAACTCCACAACAATATCATAAACAATCTGCTGCTTGAGTATTTCTGCCAACTGTTTTTCACTCTCGTTAAGTATTCGGTGACCGCCCGTGAGGAACAGGTAAATGTCATCAGTTTCGTTATCTTCACTGAAAGGTCCAGTAACAAAAATTCTTTCTAACAGACGAAAGTGGATATCAATCCCTAGGCTTGCAATAACGCCTCTTAAGTTCATCGTCGTTGAAATAAATTTCATAGGACTCTCATCCCAAGCTGCTGCTGCAAAGATAACCTTTAGAGGCAAAAATAAGGACAAAGTAACGCAATAAAATTGACGCTTAACTGTTACTTGATATTCCCAAACTTTAAAAACATACCCTTCGTTTTGTAGTAGTCATAGATGGTACGATCGTTATACATCCACCTGTTTTTTCACAACTCTTACTGTTCTGAAATAGGGATTTTTTCGCCTTATGCCATCGATAAAGTACAAGATGCTGGATATGAGGACGAAGCTTTTTCAACTTGTCATCGACTTTTGTGGCCTTCTTGGCCATTCGCGTCTCCATTTTGTGGAAAAGTTTGGCTTTGATTTGCACTTCAATGATTTCATCAATCAATTGCGTAGGGCCAGCGGTATCGACAGAGGCATCATCAAGGAATTTTGTGCTATTTACTCGTGTGAGAATGCTCTCATTATCATCTGACATCGAATTTTCGTCCTTTTGACCTGCAGGTTCATCAAAATACAATTCATGGAATGCTGATTCCACGATGATTACAAATACATATTTATAACCTACCTGCATCTTTCGAGGAATCATCCGTTTTTGCTATTAAATGTCGCGTAAAATTATTAACACGCTCAAATGTAAACTTATTCTGTCTCCGTGCTTCAAAAGGCGTCTTTATTAACTCATCCAATGCAGCTACGCAGGCATTTATGCTGGCGCTGGGATTAACTACATAAAATCTTTCGATGAAAAAGTTTGAAACAGATTGTGTAAGCTTAAAGAGAGGGAAAAAGAATTTGACAGAGAACAATATAGAAACAAACTTGTTGTCAGTTTCATGTATTGCTTGCAACCACTAAATGATAAATGTTTATTAGCTACTTAAGTCAGAATAAATGCGCAAGTAAGAGAATATTCATATTAATTGCAGCATATACCTGATCCTTCAACATAAAATTACGTGCTGTAACCTTTTGAGCATTATTTCCATACTCAAACGTATTATCCAGTATAATCATTGACTTGCCAATAAGATCCTTCATTAACGTGGTAGGCACATTCGAAAAAAGGGTCGGTATAGGTCTAGTGAAGTCAAAATGTCCCATTTGCGATATATCCCACACAAAGAACCGAAGACCGAGCTGTTGCTTGATCAAGTTGACCCAAGCTAAATATTCTTTGCGTGTTCTGGTTTGGATCGACAACATATGAAAGCACATAATCAGTAAAAATTCATTTTATTCATTCACTCATCCGCAGATATAAAACTAGATAATACTGCTCACGTTTTGTGATTCGCGACTAGTAGTATGTCTGGGTGGAAACCTGCGGGGAAGCCGCGGTAGATTGTCGACACTCTGACATCAAAGGATTGAATGTGAACGACTTTTGGTATGGAGGGAGTGGCGATCTGAGATTAAATTAAGTTTCAATCGTTATCAGCAAGCAATAATTCTGGAAATCTTCCACATAGTGCATATTAGCCACACATTTTCCGGGTCATAAAATGAACTACTAAATCCTTCTCATATACCTCTGACTAAGATTTGCATCCCTACCTTTCCAAGTTCCAGGTATAACCAAAATTCTGCACATTCAAAGGGCTCCGCTTCACTCAACTTTAAGGAAGCCTCCAAATGTAGCGTCTGGCCAGCTCTTAGCAAAGGAATTTCGAAAATATATTCACTTTCCATAGTCTGCACCGGGGGGACGGTGGCAGTTCCTTGCTGCTTTGGGTGCAGGCCGAACTGCAAGGCAGAACGCGAAACCTCTCCGCCCGTTTTGTCTAGTCTAACACGAATGCGACGCCCATTTTGGGAAAAAGCACCGAAATCCACTTCAGATGTGTTTCTCACACCCCAGAGGACTTTGACTACATGACCAACAACCTAAAGTTTTTGAGATAGTTTTTCAATTAGCTATGGGATGTAAGGAAGCTCGAATGGGTATGCATGAATATAATATAAGAGATCAAATGTTACCATGGAGTTCATGTGTGAAATATGTGTAAACTCAATAGGATATTTAATGTTAATAGGACGGCCATTGATATCAAAAGCTGGAAACACCCTTTGAAGCCCTGTCATTGTCGCTGTCAAGTGCAACATGTCGGTTGCTCGAAGGGGCGGTCCTGGTATATTAGTAGAAAATATAAAACTCAACTCACAGAATATCAATCGAAATAGAACAAGTCTTTAATATATAATGTACCTGGCTGATTCACTGCATGTTTCTTGAGAAAAAATGAAAATGGTTGATGGCAATAAACTTTTTGGGAGCTGCGAGGTTCGATCAGATGCGGCAACATAGTGTGTTCCTTCATCACTCGGTTATGAATCCATGTGCTGTCATTAATAGTAAGGCAGATATCTCCTATCGGGTGGAAATTGAAAAACCAATATGCATCACTATATAAATAACATTAATCTACCAATTTGCGAATGACCTCTGCGAATCAGATACATACGTCTCGGTGTAGGCATTGTAGATATATTGTGAACCGTCAAATTATCTATGTGAATTTGAGCTTCGGGTTCAAAAACCCCTGTGGCGGAGCGAGCAACGACATGATACAAACGTATATCAAAAATTTCGCTGTATGTTGTGACTTTGTTCGTGACACTTGGTAAGGGATGAAAGATGACTGTCAAGACTCGTAGGAAAGCAAGTAAAATTCAGTCGTTTTTACCCTCTTCTTCCTCTCAAAAAAAACAACGAAGCCATTTCCACCTGTCTTTAATCAGGAATCGTAAATTTCCGTTATCTCCTGTCCTACCGTCATAAAGAAGATGCGTTGGTTTTCGTCCAGAATTACCACTAAAGCCTGACATGCCACCTAATATAAAAAGAAAGCAAATTTAATTTGATAACAAATGGTGAATCAAGCCCGCTTGCGACTCATACCTGGATTACAATAGGTTGTAGTATAGGCTACTTGATTCCCTTGGGAATCGTAGGAGTAGCTCGTTTCTGTCCATGAATAACTTGATCCACCAATGCCACCTGGTCCTCCGCAACCTGCAGATATTATAACCATACTTAAAAAAGAGTGCGCTAGACCAGAGTGCTAATCACACGAGCTGTACCTGGTATCCCATGATGACCAGCTTTTCCTGCATTGCGACAATTGGTAAGATCATAGCAGAAAACTGCAGACTGAAACATCAAAAACAATATTTACCTCTATCTCCTCCACTCACATTTAAACTGTAAGAAATTTTTGGAGTCCATGCCTTCACAAACATCATTAACAATCCTGAATCAGTATCGTGCATGCGCAAAGTAATTGTACCACCTTTTCCGCCATCGGCGCCACTGTAAGATGCAGATTTCGTTAGAAAATAAAAATTTCACAGTAGCTGAAGAAAGAATCGTGAATTGGAATAAAGAACACTGACCTAGTTCCTGCGCCTGTGATTGTTAAGAAATATAATATAAAGTATATCAGCAAGCTTACTAAAATTTCCATTTCGTAAGCATAGGATGACGGACGTTCTTACCTGCATCACCACCATCGCCACCTCTTCCTCCATTGGTTCCAGAGGAGTATCTTCATCATTGACAGAAATTAGTCGATGACTTTAATATCGAGACACAGAATACCAAAGATAAACAAGAGACTTACCGAGTAGCATTTACTCCGGGAGTACCAGTGGCACCATTCCCTGAGGTAAAACAGATAACGTTATCTTATTCTCGTACTTGAATATATACTTATTATTCGTAAAACGTCAAATAAACGAAGAATTGAAATAAAATTACTTACCCCCATTTCCACCATTACCCCCATGTCCCCCGTTTCCTCCGCGAGCTGAAACATGCGACAAACAATGTTAGTATCGTTTGATTAATTACCACTGAGTCATGACAAAGCCAAAATTTGAAACTTTTACCTTCCAGCGTAAACCAATTAACGGTAGCACATGTGTATATTTTTTTAAAAAGTTCAGCATGGGTTCCTGACATACAATACCGGCCTGAAAATTCAATCGAGACGCCAATAGTGCTATATCTATTAATATTAATGCAAAGGTAAGCTACAAAAAGCCAAATAACGAACAGAGAATATCATTGTAATCAAGAAAATCCAACCTCTCAGTGAGTTCCAGGTCGATATCTGTTAAAGCGTATACAAATTTTTAAATTCTCATAATTCAACTTAATAATCACAAATTTTAACCATTTTCAATTGAATACCTCCGGCATCACTTCCACTGGTCGGTTTTGTCGCATTCTCTCCATTGTTCCCATCTTTATATCCTCCGCTAGAGATTGCTGAACTGAATCCATTCCGTCCGTTAACGCCATCAGCCCCAGACACTCTGAGCACAAGCGTCATTTTATTCCCAGGCTTGTCGCGGTTAGGTAATTTTTAATGATTGGAAAGCTTCTATGTTTTTTTCGCCTGTTTTTGCTACTTCTGAACTAACTAGCGAGTATATATGAAATAAGATTTTTAGTAAAAAAAAAGAAATTACGGAAGAGAGAATTAAAAAAATTATGGTAAAGAAGGTGATTAAAGGAAGGAAGAGAAAGATTATGGTAATGAAGATGATTAAAAAAAGAAGAGAACTATTGTGGCAATGAAGGTGATTAAAAGGAAGGAATAAAGAAGAAAAATACAAATAAATATAAAACATTTATGAGAGTATATCTCGATATAAAAAAAGTCAATATTTGCACTTTTGAGCTCGTTTGTAACGTGATACAATTAACCATATAAAAAGGTAAACACGTAAAAACCACGGAAAATGCAATCAATGGTACGAAATGGCACGGCACGGTACGTATAGACACGGGAAATGACAAATTCCGTATACACAACACGAATGGAAGTTAAAAATTGCGATTGGATCTATCAAATGCACGTTACGCATCGCGTATCGTACATGTATTACGTATACCGATACGGAATAACTTCCACACCAGTAAATTATAATTATCTTTATCATTTAATAAAACACAGCATATAACGATAAGGTCGCATGATTTAGTAATGGATTGTCGAAATGGTTACTGCAACGAGTGTTCAGATCACAATACTCATAATCGTAGTAAATGTACTAATTGTCAATAATATCAGAAACAAATTTATGAAGTTGAATGATCTAGTGAAAATAAAGAGGTTGACAGTTTAATACAAGAATGTACAGAAATTAATCAATATAAGAAATATGCAAGATCTTTTGAATGAATCCATTTTTGAAAGAATTGAGTTGGGGACTTAAATTGGAACATTTAATTGACAGTAGTCGTCATAAGTATCCGACCGCCCGTAATTTTTCATATGCAATGTACCAAAATTTTTCACGTATAAAAAACTATATAACGATAAATATTGATAATTTATGCCTTTTATAGGCTGGTAAACTTCTATATCAGATGTTATCGTTATATGTTTGTCAAAACTCGTGTTACAAATCAATCGGACGTAATATTCATGATATCTACAATATTTAGCAATCCAATTCTTGGCACCCAGTGATTCGATCTGAACAAAAATGCTATCATTTGATTCGTCTCAACTAGACGAATCGAATGATAGTATTTTTGTTCAGATCGAATAATTAAATGTTGAGATATTGCATCTTCCAATTTTTTTGAGGTTATCAAAAATAAATCGGATGCAGTATCTCAATATCTAGATATCCGATTCGAGCCAAAAGGCCAATTCATTTTTTATCTAATAAAAATTTGATTAACAAGAACGAATCAATCATTTTACGATGCAATATCTCAATATCCAGTGATCCAATTCAAATGAAACTATTATCATTCGAGTTATCTAGTCTAGACCAATCGAATAATAATAGTTTCATTTGAATTGAATAACGGGATATCGAGATATTGTATCGATTTATTTCATTGTTTTATGGCATTAAAGTTTGACGAACATATAATTCCCTAATATAAAAGTTTACCGGCGTATAACGATAAAAGGCATAAATTATCAATATTTATATGGTTCTTTATACGTGAAAAATTTTGGTACATTACATATGAAAAATTACGGGCACTTATGACGGCTACTGTGATATTATTGATAATTTGCGTAAAATGAATTTCACCCTGGAAATATCTTAATAATGAGTGAAGTTTATATTCGAGCTCAAATTGTCTATTTTGGACTTACTAGCTCAGCAGATATAGAAAAATATAATCACAAAATTCGTAGAGTACTTCCTTTTACGAATATGGAATTGCAAAATTGATAACTATACACTAGAGCGGAGATATCCATAGTTTTTGGATGATTGTGTACGAGGTTGCCACAGGTGAACGGCTATTCTGTAAATAGAATCGTGGTACATATCTCGTATTTGACATTTATAAAGGAGAACGACATACAATATATTTCCGGATGGTGCAAATTTATTATTGAAAAATTTTGGGATCCAATTCCAGAAACAGATCAATGCTGAGGAATCTGCTACACTCATATATGGAAACAGAAACGAATTGAATACTTTGCATTTTCTTGCTGCATTTTCATCGGTTTATGCCACCATTAACACGTGATCCGACCCTTGCCATGACAAGGGTACTATCGTCGTTACTGCTGTCGTCGTCGTCATCATCGTCGTAATTTGTGCTCGAGGATCGATTTTGGGTTGAGAATCGATTCCTTTCCCTATTTGGAACTACTGCACGGGAGTATTTAATAGATTTTGTTGATAAACGAGATCCTTAGCATAGCACACCAACATACCCAAACCCACACTGACCAACGCAAACTCTTAATTAGCACAGATTTGGAAGTTCATGATGAACAACCAACCAATAATGGCAACATCATCGCTGTCAAGAAGCCATTTGCTTACTGAGCAATAATAGAAGTTAAAAAGATACAGGAGTTATCACTAAAAAGTTATTGTTCAATCTTCATGAAATTACAGTATTTCCAGTTTGGAATTACCTCATTTTGTAGAAGGAATGCGCAGAATGACCCAAAAACGCCAAACAAATGGAGAAAAACCACCAATTATGCCTGAAGAACATAACCAATCCAACAAACTCAACTAATGCAACAGAATCCAGTATGAATTGAATATTTGTGATGACCAACTTCCAATATCAAAGTAATAACGGCGAGGAGTCGGAAGTAAAAGCCCAATGATTAGGCAAGCACAGTAAACTTCCCACCGATAACAGCAACAAACCGAAGCGTCAACTAACATAAAACTTATCTGGCCGGAATTAACTTAGCAACAGCAAATGAAGTGAAAGTAGTCGCAAGTCGACGGAACAACGCGATAACACTACAAGTAAGTTGTCGTTATTCATCCAAAGAAGCTAGCAATATTGCATGAACTAGAATCTGTTGCACATTTCAATATACATGTAATAATAGGTACAGTACCCCCAAAAAGTATCGCCTGATTTCATCCTTTTTTTGATAATAAACATCACATTGTTTACCTGTTATGACTTCGTTAAAAAATGACGTCCACCTATGCATAGCTTAACGAAATTGAAAAAGGGAAGATTCAGGCATACATGGAAACCACAAATGCCGCTCAAATCGCAACAAATATAAACGATCAGGAAAAAGTGAAAACTTACCAAGTTCAGGAAGACCACCAGTCCTTAACAGCCAAGAAAAGGATTTACGCCAACGAAAAAAGACGTGAACCACTACGCGAAATAGTTAACAATTTAGGCCTCACTTGTAGTTTATCAACCGCAGCAAATGTATTACACAATGCCGGACTTAACTCATGTATCGCAGCAAAGAAACCCTATATTTCGGAAACACATGCACATGCTCGTATTAAATGGTGTGAAGAAAATAAAAATAAATCAGCTTATGATTGGGCCAAATAATTTCTCTGATGAAACCAGTGTTGAAGTTGGAAAGCAGTCACGCAGCCAAGAGTATGGCGGCATCCTGGAGAAAAGCTTAATGTTAATTGCTTGGCTCCTACCTTTAAAAGTGGATGTGTTTCGCGGGAAATTAAAAGGACCATTAATTTTTTGAGATGAATATAAAAAAAATGGCGAAAAAATAACTGCAAATACTTATCTTGAAATCTTAAAAACTCATTTATTACGCAATTAAGGAGTTAACTGGAAATTACGCAATTTTTCAGCAAGACAATGCGCCGGTTCATACTGCGGGAAAATTTAAGAAATGGTTAACGGAAAATAAAATCACGATTATTAACTAGTCGGCTAATTCACCAGACCTGAACCAAATAGAGAACATTTGGAAGATATTAAAGGACAATGTTCAAAAAAATGTAAACTTTCCGAAGACTGTGGATGAACTTAAGGTCGCATTGAAGGTGGAGTGGGAAAAATTGATGTGGCCATTTTAGGACGAGTTACTGCATCAATGCCACAAAAGATTAATGCGGTATTGGAATCAAATGGAGGGCGATTAAATATTAAATAAATTCATTTTTTATTTGATGTATTGAATTGTCAAAAATCAAATAATGATCACAATTTTTATTTTTAATCTTGCATCGGACAATACTTTTGGGTGTATAAAAAATGGAAATTTTCAAGCTATGTATATATCTAAATTATTTATAATAATTATTTCTAAATTTTATATCATTTTAAGCTAATTGATTATATTTTGAAAAATAATACAAGACTTGTAGCAACTAAAATGCAAGGACTGTTTTGATTGGAAAGTAAAAAAAAATTTTCTCACGCTTTATATATGAAAATTGAAAATTTCAAGTTATTTTTATAATAGAATTCACATGAACAAGTCATAAGATCACAACACAATTGGTTATACATGTAGCAGAGCTCTGTAGAAAGCATTTCTATGTTTCCAGAGATGCCTAACGCTAAGTCAGAAAGTTGATATTGATACTCCATATGCTCAGCATTTTTTTTTTTGCAGAATGCTACTTTCAAGGAAATGGAACAAATAGAAATGAGAAGAAATCATTTGAATGATATTTAAAATCTGCTGAATCTGGGTAGAATATCAATTTAAAGTGGCTGAATTCTATCAATACGGATTTGAAATTCCAAAAGATCCCGACATGGTATCAAAAAGCGCACGAAAATGGTCATAATCGAGCAGGAGAGCTGGTCGAGTCTTTTGATTTTGAAAAAACATATTCTTGTTTTTGAATTTTTTCATATAAATATATTACAGTAGTTTGTGTTAATTTCAATAAATTCAAATTTTCTCGTATTTCATAAATTTTTTATATTTTTTAATAATTACCAGATTTCAGAAATTTATGGTTTAGCAGTAAGTTTGCAAGCAACATTTATCAAATTTACATGCTCAATAGAGAAGTTCGATGGGTCTTTTATGTAATTAGTAAATATTTTAATATTTATTCAAATTTCATAACATTTTTTTATGAA